GGGTTAACACAATCCATTGGGTTAATCCATAATTCATATAAGCTTAAAATCATTTGGATATGGTTTTGTTTGAGTTGGTTTACCCATTTTGACACTCCTAGCCATGAGTGAGAGTGCCAGAAAGGTAGCGTAGAACACGCTTAGCTGCTTGCCAATGATCAGTTCTAGGATGATGCATGTACTGAGAGAGCTTATTGACTGCATAAGAGATGTCTGGACGTGTAAGACTCAGATACTGGAGATTCCCCACAATTTTTTTTTGTATTCATGCGGGTCAGGAAGAGGTGTGCCAGATTTGAGTGCCAACTTTGGTGAGGAAGGCAGTGGCATACCAACCGGCTTGGCATGTAGCATGTTGACTTTGGTGAGTAGATCAGTAATATATTTTCTCTGCATCAAATGCAACCCTTTTGGTGATCGTATAGCTTCAATGCCAATAAAGTAACCGAGTGCTCCCATGTCTTTGATGGAGAATTTCTGGTCAATATAGATGATTCGTTGAACCAGTATCGGAGAGCTTCCTGTGACAAGGATATCGTCAACATAAACCAAAAGATAAAACATATGTTCCATTGTGCTTGAGGATGAATAAAGGCGTGTCAGAAATAGAGTTCCGGAAGCCAATGGTGAGAAGATACGTTTTGATCTCAGAGTACCAAGATTTAGGAGCTTGTTTCAAGCCATAGATTGCTTTCCGAAGGCAACAGACATGCGTAGGGTTACTCGGATCTTGGATTCCTTGCAGCTGAGACATAAACAATTCTTCTTTTAGGTGACCTTGTAAGAATGCAGTGTTGACGTCAATTTGACGTACCGGCCAATCACACTTGACAGTCAATCCTAGTATAAGACGTATGGTTTTAGATTTAATAACATGACTAAACATCTTTGTATAATTTAATCCTTGTTGCTGATTATAGCCTTTAGCAACGATTCTTGATTTGTATTTTTCGATGGTGCCGTCGGTATTGTACTTGATGGTGAAGACCCAGTGACATCCAACTACATTCATCCGTTTGTCACTTCCACCAAATCCCAAGTGTAGTTTTCGGTTGTAGATGTGAACTCAGAACTCATTGCTTTACGCCAGTGAGTATTTTTCATGGCTTGTTGCCATGTGGATGGGATCTAGTGAGGATCACATTGGACTGTAGCAGCAAGATTATACTTCGTTGTTGGCTTTGTGATGTTCTTCCTGGACCTCGTAGTCGTAGAATGACGAGGAGGAACCTGTGGAGCTGGTGGAGGTTGAACCGACTGAGCAGGTGAAGGTTGTTCCACAGGAGGTAACAGTGTGGGTAATGTAATAGGTGGAGTCGTTACCAGTTGTGTAGTTGCAGGTGTCGTCTCTGTTTCAGTGTTACTTGTTTCCAAAGGAACCACGGGAGTGGAGGAGATTGGAGTAGGAAACGCTGGTGGAGTCTCTGAGCGTGGGGGTTGAGCGTTCATAGCTAACGGAATAGACTGTGTGAATGGCAATGTTGCAGGGACTATGGTGAAAGGAGGCGCTGTGGTGGGATCCTGTGAGGATTCAGGAGGGTTTGTAGTGGTGGTTTAGTGAGAGAAGAGTAAGGGAATTGTTTCTCATTAAAACGTACATGTTGGGTAATGTATACACCGCCTGTAGTTGGATCAAGACATAGATAGGCACTCTGGGTCAGTGAGTAACCTATAAAGACACATGGTAGAGATCTTGTTTCAAGTTTGTTTTGAGCATATGGTCTTAACCAAAGGGAAGCTAGGCAGCCAAAGGTTCGTAGTTTGGAATAGTTTCTGGAAAGGTGACTGGTTGGAAAGGATTGGTGTGGGAAGACGGTTAATGAGAAAGACCGTTGTTGCAAACGCAAGAGGCCAAAGTTTTAGTGGCATGTTGGCGGTGGATGGAAGAGATAACTTTATTTCGACAATACGTCGATGCTTGCGTTCAGAAATACCATTGTGTTCTAGAGTATGAGGAGGGCTTGTGAGGTGGGTGATACCGTGTGTAGCAAGGTAGGGGCGTAAGGCCGGGCTAGGTATTCTCCACCATTGTCAAAGTATAGGTGTTTGATCTTAGTGTCAAAACGGTTTTCAACAAGAGGTTTAAAGAGGAAAAATATATCTTTGACCAGGGATTTGGCTTTAAGAGGGTATAACCACGTATATCGTGTATAGTGATCAACAAAAAGGAGATAATACTTGAAGTTTTGAGGGGATAGAACAGGTGATTGCCAAACATCGGAGAAAATATATTGGAGAGGTTTTGTGGAGATGAGTGTACTCGTTTGAAAGAGAGGTTTATGAATTTTATTGAGAAGACAATCATTGCAAAGAATTGTAGTAGAATGTGAAAAACAAAGTAAAGAAAATTGAGAAACAATGGTTTTAAGGATAGCAGGGGAAGGGTGTCATAGGCGATGATGCCATTGATCTAAGGTGGTCTTGGTGTCTGGATAAATAGCGTAGGAAGCAGGGAAGGTTGACGAATACATATGCCACTCATACAGGTCACCCTTCGTTTTGCCTTGAAGCAGCCTGACCCCTGTGCTGAGATTCTTCACCTGAAAGGATGTAGGAAATAATTCTACAGAGACTTGATTAGTATTGCAAAGTCGATAGAAAGAGATCAAGTTCTTATTAACATTAGGAACACATAGTATGTCCTTAAGATGTAGAGATTTAGATCGAGTAGGGATAGAGGCAGAACCAATGTGTGTGATTCGCAATCATGATCCATCTGCAATAGCAACCTCATCACCTCCTTGATATGGTTGCTGTAACGCTAGGTTGTTCAAGTCTGATGTGAGATGGTGCATTGCACCACTGCCTAGCAACCATGGCGCCACATTTTAGGGGTACGTAGCCGCAAGATTAGCTCTTGCTGACCACTGCGTCGGGTTAGGATTAGCTGACATCAGGCCTCCACTTTCTATTTGTGTGCATCACTGAGCTGAGTGGCCAAAGACTCCACAAAGCTGGCATTTACCTTGATAACTTCAAGGGGCAGAGTTGGGAGAAGGCGCCTGAAACTGTTGTTGTTGTTGCCATGTTTGATTCCCGCGATAACCACATGTTTGTTTCCTTGTTGACGGTTGTTGTTATTTCTGTAGTTGTGGCCTTTGTAGTTGGTGTAGTTCGCGGTGACCGGAGTAGAGACTGGAGTAGTCTACTTCAATTGAAGTTTTGCTTCATGATTAATCAGATTTTCATGAAGTTCCGTGATGGAGGGTGGAGTGTCATGGCTCTCTACCTGATCGATCAATGTTTTGTAGTCCTCGGGAAGACCTTCAAGCATAGCATCGATTTGATCTTCAGGGTCCTCCGGTTTGCCAAGGAGCACAAGCTGATCGAAAAGAGCTGTGAGTCCTTGAACGTAGTCATTGATGAACTTTGTTCCCTTTGTAGCAGCTTTGAGTTGTTGTTTGAGTTGTTTGAAGTGACCTTGGCTGGGCTTTGCATATGTAGCGGTTAGAGTACTTCAAATCTCATCAGCAGTCGTAGTGGTGGAGAGGATCGGCTGAATAGTCGTCGTAATAGCACCAAAAAGAGCGTTATAGATCAGCCTATCCGCCTTTTCCACACTGTGTATGCATGGTGGGTATCAACACCATTGTCTATTGTTACCGTCGGTGGTGGAACCACTAGTGAACCATCAATATGACCGGCAAGGTCATATCCTTCAAGGATTGCTTAGATTTGACGGCTCCACATCAAGAAGTTTGTAGCCGTAAGCTTCGTCACATTAGCCATGTTGATTTTAAGGATGGTGTTGTTGGTGTTGGTTATCAAGACGGTTTAGCTGGAGTTCGGCAACATGATGACAAACCATGAAAAAAAAAGAGGAAAAGGTTTTGAAAGAGATAATTAGGTCAGATCTATCTCTGATACCATATAGAAGTGGAGGCTTCAATACTTTCATTAATCATAAGAAAGGTATATATACAGCAATACAAGTAGGGCTACGGTATAATACATTAATTACATAATAATCCCTTAACTCTATGTGTTCCAAAAAAAAAAAAATCCTTTAACCCTATATTATTTACTTGACATAAAGCAGTGATACACTTTGAGACCACCCACAAAGTAGAGTTTAAAGAAATAACCAAATGAGTAAGTTAAAGAATTGAACCTGAGAGGCTAAAACTATTAAATCATGGAGAAGACACAACAATACACTACCATCGATTTATATGATCATTAAATTTGCTGTAAATCATGTAAAACACCTTGGCCAAAGATCATAAGCAACATACATGTTTTTATTTTCACTAGTAATCGGACCTAGTCGGTTAGTCTAAGAGCAACCTTAATGATAAAAATTCTCTTGAAATTCTAAGAAAATTGTAAAATAAATATTTTTATTTAACAAAATTAATAACCAATAAAAAGATGACAGATGAAAAAAAAAATTTCTAAAATGTCTGAGAGAACATTTCTTCAAGAAATCAGTTCTGGTTCTCTCTCTATTATTTTTAGTTTTTAGTCCTTAAATACTATCTTAACTATTGTCATGGCTCTAAAGCATTTTTCTTTATAAGAGCAAGTCCATTCATTAGAACCTTTAATGGGCCCTTAAGATAAAATTAATAACTAATAAGATGATTTGAGAGTTTAAGAACCTTAATTAGTGCAATTAGTTTTTACCACATCTAATGGGAGAATTTCATAAGGGTTCTTAAAATATATTTTTTTGGGAGAAAACTAAGAAACAAGCACTTGATCTCTTTCGAGTTGTTGTTTTTTTTTATTTGGAGGTTGATAAGAAAGAATGTAGATGTTGTTGGAAAATATGAAAGAAGCTCTTGCTCTCTCTCGAGGTTGATAAGAAGAAACTATGAGATTGTGTTGCTCTCTCTCGTGTTTCTACAATTTATAAAGAAGCTCTAAAACATGAAACATATACATATTGATCAAGTGATCACACGAGATAACAAACTACAGACCCGACTCGAAACCAAACTAACTTATCAATCTCTAACACGCATTAAAAGGATTGTATTGATGATGTAACTTCATTGCTAGCATCTACACCCAAACTCTCCAGGACACTCCAGCTTCCCGCTCTTCACATAGGACACTCCAGGACACTCCAGCTTCCAGCTAATCAACACGTCATCTAGTTTCACATCGCATTTCACAATCCAGGCATGGCTCAGCCTGCATATATAGCTACCAAGACTACTAGATGATGACGCCTTTAGAACCATGGAAAGTGTGTACCCGTCTGCCTTAATTTTATCCAGAGTAAGCCATACATTGAACTAGGAGAAGACATTCCTTAACCAATCCTTGCTTCATATACCCACTGATCATGTACAGCAGGTGAGTGTGAAGAAACGTCTTGCTGCAACACTTTCCCCTTCACGAGCTTGCATCTCCCGTCTGAGATTTCGACGGGAACAACGGCGAAGAGATAGAGAGAATACAAAGAGAAAAAGAGACAGCGATTTCGACGAAGTCGAAAGAGAGAGAACCGACCAAGGACGAAAAAGGAGAGGCCACATTTTTTCTACCCAATAAGGATCCACCACGTTAGGGGTTTTTATTGCTTCTACTTTCTCCTATTAAAGCACCAGTTCTTTGTTGTATTTGCATTTTTCATTTATTTTTTTCCCTAAAATTGCATAGAACCTCTCCCTAACTCTCTGAGGGAGATGGTCTAAACAAGTATCCAACAATTTTAAAAAAATATATAAAATCTAAAAAGAACCAGAGGAGAACGGAGAAGAAAGTGTTTTTGTGGAGATACTCAACATAAAAAATTAAGATACTCATATCATACATCTGAGATATGTGATCATAAAAATATGAGAGACTCAGCAATAGATATTCTCTAACATAATATATAATTACAAACTTACTAGTTTCTACTAATTTACTACTCTGTCTATAGAACTGACAATCACTATCTATATATATATATACAAGAACATCAATTACAAATTAATATACTGTTCATTTGTCAAGGTTAACAAAGACATACCAATGTAGATTCAAAATCAATCTTGGGATTTGTTTATTTTGAGCAAATCAATCTCGGGATTAATATGTACGTGTGTTGGGAGTACATATCCCTAATCAATAACAAAAACATAAGAAACAATACAACTAGAAAAATAACTTCTAATAATGTCAGATAAATTTGAAATGTTTTTTAAGAAATTATCATTGTGAATGATGGTAAGGTGAATCGGCTTGAATTCGAATTTTCCGTTTTTGAAGAAAACTTTGGAGAGATCTTTTCATAGAAGCCTTTGGATTTGGAAGCTGCTGATGGTAATGATTTAATCGGGTTGACCTGTTTCGAGGATCTGACCCATCTGGAAATGACCTCTCTACCATTTCCCTGCTGGCGATCGATATTATCGATTTGGCCTGTATTCATTCATTAAGACGTTAATTGTTATTAAATCCATTGATTAATTGCTTATAGCCTTATAACATGTAAATAAATGTCTAGATATATACACCTGATGATGAGTAACATCTGAATAAACACACATTTTTCCATTGTAGAAAATTGTTAATCTCTGAGTTTCTTCTTCTTTTGGTAATGAATTTCCGGAGCTTCTTGATTCTACCACACTGCAAACAAATTAAATTTGAAACTGATCAGATTTATTTATATGAACTGAATTTCATATACTGATTCTCAAGAAAGAGAGAGAGACTTACGAGTTATCTGAATCGGTAATAGAAGAAGAAGTTGGAAAAAGACGAAGTTCCAAGTCGCAGTTTTTCTCCATCTTCGCGAGTTGTAAGAACTAGAATTAATGATGATGGTGGTGATATTATGTCTGGATTGATAAATATAAGTTTATATATATATGAGGAGAGAGAGGGCTCGAGAGAGACGGTGGACACTGAACACGGGTTTTATGACGGCGGGTTCTTAAGACTCCCAGCCTCTTTTTAATTATCTCACGTGGAACATGTCTTTTCTATTATTATATTTGTGCAGCTTCGGTGTTTTTTTTTTTGGAAAAACACACTCTTTTTTCCTTTAGAATAATACTTAATTCAAATTTCTACTAGTTGTTTAGAGGCATTTTGCAGATTTTTCGTTCAAATAATACTCATATCTCATTCTTTTTATTGACTTATTTTGATTATTTATTAGTCCACCGAGCCTACCTACGGTATACTATGGTGTTTGACGCCTACCTTCTATATACTATATAGAAAATGTTTGCCGCCTACCTTCTTTTTGTTATAGTCTCGACTGCGGAGTAGTTCACAGGCGGCATATCTTTGTAAGTCAATTATGTGATCACTGCACACGCAATTATTTAAATCTTGGCGGTATTTGACATAATTTCTCTTTTTGTGATACGAAACTTGATTTAATTATGTGATCACTGCACACGCAATTATTTAAATTTTGGCGGTATTTGACATAACTTCTCTTTCTGTGATACGAAACTTGATTTAATTAGAATTAGGAGTTTCAAAATGAAAAAAAAAAAAAAAGATTAGAATTAGGTTAATGATTCATACACCTGTGTAACTCATTTCACATTTTCCTCTACTTCTTCTTTTTAAAATAAGCATTCTTTCTACTTCTTTATCCTCTTGCCTTAGATCCAGTAGACCAGTTCTTTACCCAAATGAGCTACAAGATTTGGCACGGGTGTAAATCTTGTATTATTCTAATTCATACTTAGGTAAGTGTAAACATAACAGCCGAAAGTCATGTCCCAAAGTTAAAATTTGTAGTACTTTTACAAATATTAATTAAATTAAATCCATACTTATGTTACATATAAATTCATACTCCAAATGCATATAACTTCATGTGTTTTCTTTAATTATTACTCCCGCTGTTTTTCAAAAATTGACACTTTGACAGTTCTTATATTCCCTCCATTTCTGAATAAGTGTCACTTTGACATTTTTCACACAGATTAAGAAAGTGGTTGAAATATATGTAAGTTGTTATTAATTATATCTCTTTAACCAATAGTATTTTAGATAAATAGAATTATTTATAAAATCAATGCAATTTGTAGTTAATTTTTAGCTGAAAGTAGATATATTTTGTATTGGAGTTATAAATTGACACTTTTTGTGTAACAAGAAAAAATGGTTAAAATGACACTTATTATGAAATCGAGGGATTAAGAAAATAATTTAAATACATTATTTAAATTCTTATAAATTACATTTATTCAACCAATAATATTTGAGATATATAAATTTATTTATAAAATTAATGGTATTTGTAATTAATTTTAAGTTGAAAGTTGCAATAAAAATTTAAAAGGATAAGTATTTTTTTGTGTAACTAGAATTTTTTTTTAAATGACATTGTTTCTGAAAGAAAGGGAGAGGGAGTATATTTTTATACTCTTGATTAGGCCTTCAATTTTTTTATGGCATTTCGTAACTAACTCAATTGCCATTTGAGTCAACAAATATTAATCTTTTACTACTTTCTATTAAAATGTATTTAATCTTCGACTAAGGCACGTGTTTGTCTCTCCATGTGCTTATATTTTGTTTCACGGCTATGAACAAGTGGTAGAGACTAGAGATCCGTGGGAAAAACGTGGTAGGGACTAATTTTTTTATTAGTGATTGAATTTAGTTTACGAATTAATTCTTGTCAAGATATTTAAAATGAAATCGGTTACTAATTAAACTCAAGCTGAATGCCATCATCTTCACTTCAAATCGGTTGAGTAATCAATGCCATTATTGATAAGCGACTGCAAGCTAATATCGAATTCTACCTGATGTTGTGTAGAGAAGTTTGGGCTGGTTATGAACCTCGTTGCGTTGCGTGTTGCGTGTTGCGTTGTAGTGTTGCGTGTTGCGTTGTACTTGTAGTCAAAGTGAATATGGTTTATGCATAATCTTCTATAATTTTTTTTATCTTCAAAGTTCGGTTCAAATCATTAAATCGGTGGCATCGAGACCTTTTGGCAGATATAGTGGAAGGCATGGGGTAATCTAAGTGTTAATTGAGTAGCATTAGTCATTGACTCATTGAAAGATAATTTAGTTACTTAAATTACTGAGTCAATGACATACTCTATCCATTTCATATAGATGTCGTTTAAGATTTTTTAACACATTAAAAATATGAATTTTTTCTGTTATGCTTCTAATTAATACACTGTTTTATTTATTTTTATTAATTAATGAATTGAAAGATAGATATAAAAATAGAAAAATTAGCAACATATGTATAGAAAAAAATAAAATAATATTTATAATGAACAAATTTTAAAGTCAATAACGATATTTAAAATGAAACAAATGAGTAATTATTTATAATGAAGCAAATTTTGTAATGTATAATTATTCAGTGTTAAAAAAAAAACGGATGAATATTCGTTTTGTCTTAAGGAATTAATAGATAAACTAAGATTTATAGATTTGGTTAGGTAAGAACATAGAGAAAAACACGTGAGTCACGAGTAGTAGTAACCAACGAGTTGAAGATTGTTGTCTTCCCATGCGCCATTTAATTGATTCTTTCTTTCATAAATATCGCTTTCATTGGAGAAAATAGTTTGATTACGTGCCTTAAAGTGGTCAGCTTAACCCCTAACTAAATCCAAAGAAAAAGAATAGACGACAAACCTTTTGTTTGTCTGTTTATAAGTCGACGTATCCTTAGAAAGCTAGATGTCCTCATAGACCGACAATGTAGAGAACAAAAGCACGCTGGAAAAGTGGGCTGTCAATCTAAAGCTATCTAACAATTTCAAATAACAAGAACAAAATAATTGGCTAGGCTAAGAAGCTGATCCAAAGAATCGGAATCCGACAAAGCTGCAGTTCAAACCAGTAAGTGTTCTGATCCTCAAAACCAGTTCCAATATTATTATTATTTTGTGGATAGGGTTGTACACCGGTTCTATTCCACATGAGGCGTGAACTTTAATGAAGGTCTCTTGTTAAAAATCAAGGACTAGGACGATTCATAAGAAAATGAATTTATTAGAGAGGCTTTGCGACACAAATTTTGAAAGATACAGAAGCATCTGTCTTTATTCATAACTTCTCTTGTTAATAAATCCAAACTTAAACATCAAAAATTTCATTTTAGAATGAAGGATTCTTAGAGACACTAGTATAAACTCACAAAAACAAAAATACACGAGCTTTATTTAGAAAACTATAGAAACAATTTTAAATTGGATTCATGACTTATCTTCTTGATATGTGGCTACCATATCCATTATAAGATAAAATCTAGTGCACAGTGAACCCGCATTAGATCTATACTAGAAGTCTGCGAGAGAAGATTCAAGCTAAAGTCAAAGATAATTTTTTTTTCTTCTAAAGCTAAGCAATGTAAATATGCAAAAAGATCTAATGTATGAAAATCATTGGGCATGAAAGAATTTTATGGATTCAAATATGCAGAAATAGTTGAAGAATCAAGAAAATCATTAAGCAAGGTTTTCAAACTCAAACAACGCAATTAGCTACTTTCGCAGAGTTGACATTATGTATTAGAATCCTAAAGATTAATTTTTATTGAATTTAAGATTCTAACATGCATAAAGATCGAGTTTGATAAGTTCATGAAACTCCTTAACATCAACTTCCATTGGGTATGAGTCTAATTTCAGCATTAAAACAACTTAGATAAAAGGTTCAGTTGATAAATTTATTTATTTATCATGGGTTATTGTTTTACCTTGGGTATAATAACTTTATTTATTTATTTTTCCAAACTATAAAACATATCCATGGTGCAGCAAAACTGAGAGGACTCTCGTTCGAGTATATCCGGCATTAAATAACTAAAGTCAGATAACGATATATATCCAGGTATTTAACATTGATTTTAAAGTGAATCTATACTATTATTTGCTAAGTAATTTTTTTCGACGGAGCTCTCACGTTAAAAGTTAGAGTGACCAATATCATTTATACCTTTAATTACAATAAAATTTTCTAAAAAATAGCATCATGCATAACTAATATATGCATTAACTTCAAATCAAGGGCGTTATCTATATATTTATTTAAATCTGGTCGGCGTGGCCGTATGTTTTGTGTTTATGTTTATTCATAATTATTATCACTGGAATTATACCTAATTAGTCTCCCCATATATATATAGAGACATTATGTAGGTTATGAAATTGTGGAAGCTGTGGAGATAAAAAAGGTTGTTACATTGATGATTTTTGTTTTCAGTTATGTAACATTTGTGTTTATCTTTATTCATAATTATCCTTATTATCACTGGAATTATACCTAATTAGTCTCCCTATGTATATATAGAGACTTTATGTAGGTTATGAAATTGTGGAAGCTGTGGAGATAAAAAGGTTGTTCCATTGATGATTTTTGTTTCCAGTTATGTAAGATTATCTAAATTTTTCACTTGTAGGGAATAAGGATACATGCACCTGTTGGAACTCTGTTTTTTTAAAGTTGATAGTTTCTGATTTTCTGGCCAAGCCAGTGGTCGTTCCGGTCAGATCAGCAGCTCGTTGTAAAGTTTGTAACGAGTACTACAACGTGGAATAATCACACTTTAAAAACAAATCAAAATTGAATAAGAAATGAAGATTCGAAGTTGGTATGTTGGTGTGGACAAAAATTGAAAAACCCCGTTTTGGGTTTTGTCCCACATCGGCCAGAAATAGCATCAGAGAGCAGTATATATATGCCTTTGTGTTATCATGGTTTAAACAGCTCGGAGAGAGAGATGGCTCCCCACGCGCGCGCCGTCGTCGCCGTCCGGCCGGCTCGGCTCGGGCTCGGGCTTGGGCTTGGG